CTCAGAAGCTCCTCCCTCTGGGCTGGGAGCGGTGGGAGGGATGGTGGCCTGGAAGCCCCTTCCTCTGGGCCAGGAGCAGCAGGACAGAAGGTGGCCCAAAAGCCCTTTCCTGTGGGCTGGGAGCAGCGGGAGGGATGGTGACCGGGAAGTCCCTTCCTCTGGGCCAGGAGCAGTGGGACCACAGCTCAGATGCCCCTACCTCTAGGCTGGGAACAGTGGGACTCAGTACCTTGGTCTGGTGGTCTGGTGCCCTCTGCGTCTTTGTAGTGTGGAACCAAGTGGCTGCCTGTCTGCAGCGGGGTGATTCGGTGTCTTCTGCATGACTCAGGACCTCGGTAGGGTGTGCACAGATCTTCCTGTGTGCAGCGGGCTCGCTTTGTTTTATTTTTGGTACCAGGGATCAAACTTGGTTCCTTGCACTTGCGAGGCAGGCGGCAGAACCACTGAGCTAAATCCCTGGCCCTTGTGATATACTTTGCTATATCTCCCTATATATATATTTTTTTGATACCAAGGATCAAACTCAGGTCCTTGTGCTTTCAAGGCAGGCCACTGAGGTAAATCCCTGGCCCTCCCTATGTATTTTTAATTTAAACTTTAACTGGTTGTATTTTTTTTTTTTTGGTACTGGGCATCCAACTCAGGACCTTGTGCTTTCGAGGCAGGTGCCTGAACCACTGAGCTAAATCACCGACCTTAAACTGGTTGTATTTTATGATATTCTTATTTGGCTTTAGGAACTTTGAACTGTTTAGAAAATTAAGGTAATTGGAAATTTTATTTTCCAAAGAGTTCTGAAAATATAGAGTTCTACATTCAGTTATTAAATTAAACCTGTAATTGAAATAAGCATCATAATAATACACAGGAGGAAAAGTCTGAATTTTGATCCATAAGTCAAAAGGACAGTTCAGGCAAAGATCTTAATATACTGCATCTACAGATACATTCTTCACCTAATCATAAAGAATCTTATCTCCTCATGAGAAAATCGAAAACTGATGAATCCTTAAGTTTTCTCGAATGGGGAAAACAATTTTGATTATTCCCTGTGAATCTTGATGTAAAATTACACACCATGATGTACTGGCTTAAGTTAAGGGAATGCTGAATATTATAGCAGCACAATTTTTTTTTCTTCTTTTTTTGGTACTGGGGATTGAACTCAGGACCTTGCATTTGCGAGGCAGGCACGGTGCCACTGAGCTAAATCCCTGGCCCGAATGTTTAATATTATAAAGGAGGGAGAGTTTATAGCTTATAACTCAAAAAGAGGAGCAAGATAAATTTAAAAGCTTGAAAGATAAGAACAGGGTTTAAAAAAGAAAGAAACCGAGAACCTGTGAAAATAATAAGTAACATGGATAAGATAGCTTTGATAATTCAATAACAAGGAACAAAATTGGTGCCTTCAGCCAGAACTCATGGGTGCCAATCTTGATCTTATCTGTCGATGAGGAACTGATGCAGAATTTTGGCCCCAGCCTTTTGTGGCTTTCTCTGCCACCTTGTAGTAGTGAGGAAGCGCTCTCTCCTGGCGACTGACAGCCTCCACCAAGCAAGAGCTGTGCCAACCTGCTCTTCTGACATCAGGGCCCTCAGACTGAAAACAACAGAAAACAGTTGACCAAACATCTGTATAATTAAGACTTATAGCAAAGAGCGAGAGACTAAGAATGATTCTGGAGCAAAGAGATTTTTATTTTTTTGCAAATCATTAGTGGAATGAAGTCGAAAAATAAAAATAAATATTAGAAAAACTGAACTTTATTTGATAATTGATAATGGGATAATTTATTACATAAGTGGATAATATTGTAAGTTTTTTTAGAACTTATAGACGGTAAATATATGACTTTTTAGCATAAGAGAAAATGTTGTAGAATTAGAAATTTGAGTAGGAACACTATATTGTTAGAACTTGATTGGAAAACTTCAAGATAAACTCATGCTTTTAAGAAAATAAAAATAGTAAATTAAAAATACATACCTTTTGTTTCCAGGGAGCCACATCACTCCACAATGCATTGGGACTTCCTCATTCTGGTCTCATATTCTTTCCCACAAAAGAACCTTGGGAGAAATGGCAGATTCCACACTTTGAGCTGAAACTTTAAATTAGTCAGTCTAAACTGGGGATTAAAATAAAGCAGTGGCTGAGGTCAGCTGACACACAGCAAACCTGAAATGTCATGTGTCCAAAATGTTACACAAAATAGTGAAAGTACACCAAATAGTCTAAGAGAAATTGGGAAAAAAAGCGTATTTGCTAAGGTGTTTATTATATCAGTATTTTGTTGGTGTCACCAACTCAACTACTATATAGATGAGGAAAACAGAAACTAGCGACTGACTTTGTGTGTTGTGACTTGGAGACAGAAAACAAAGGCGGGGTGTAGCTCAGTGGTTGAGTATTTGAATGCAGGAAACCCTAGGTTCAATCCTTAAGACTTGAAGAGAGGCAGAGGAAGGGAAAAGGGGGAGAGGAAGGGGAGAGGTACATGAAATATCAAAATTCATTTGGGATATCTTTGATCAGACTCATGTATTAGGAGGGCCCATAAAATTGGTGCTTAGGGATTAAGGTGTAACGGAGCCTGCTTTCTGCCTGGTGGTCCATTCGTTTTATTTCTTCTTGCACACAGATCTTAAGTACACAGCAAAAATCCCATTGAATAAATTTTTGTGTCTGGGTCTCATTTCCACATCATTGATAAGAAAAGAAATTCTCTTCCAAGAAATAAATGAACACAAACCTCATAGTAAACTGCACAAAGATGAAAACCTAAGCAATGACTGCCATCTCTTCAAAGACTATTTCAGAATTTAACACTAGTCAGAACACATGCACATATGTGTGCACACACACACTATGGGAAATGCCCTGAAAATTTGCAGTTCATTTGTAAAGGAAACACTTTGAAGATTTTTCCAAACTTGACGGCAGTCCTAAAAGTGTACATGACAGTATCAGTATCTGCTTGTGAAAATGAGGGGAAATTTTCTAAACTCTCAGTAATAGAAGGCATTCTCAGATCAGCTGCATGGGAAGAAGACTGTATTTTCTCTCAAGGTAGTGACCTCAAAGTCCACACATGAAGAGGTGATCAAAAAATACCTAGTCAGGGATGCGAAAAACCCAGATGGTGGAGGTGAGTCAAGTAGTACTGTGTACCATTACCATTTACTTTTAGGATTTCCAATTAAATATTCACTTTTGTATCTAATTTTGTTTTCTTTTTCTTAAAGTTGGTGCTAAATAATTTAAGCTTCAGGCCTCACAAGACCTGGAATGGCCCCACTGGGCTGCCTCCCACAGCTGGAGCTGCTGTGTCCCTCTCTCTGGACTTGTGGCCTCTTGTTTCCGTGGTCTTCATCCTGCCGTGTGGGCGGGTGCTCTGCTCTTCCTCAGCAGCTGCCGTAGCCTAATGGACCTCTCCCAGCTTGACCCCTGGGCTTCAGGACCTTCTCAGCTCCACTAAGCAACTTTAGGACATGTTGGTGAGAGGCAGGGACAGATTTGTTTAGGCAGACTTAAAAGAAGTAGGCTCAGAGAAAGTTGAGTGTGGGGAGAGGTGCATTGTGGGTCGTGGGGATCATGTGTGGTCTTGGAGATGTCCTTCAGGATGGATGATCCAAGATGTTTTGCTTAGGAACAGTCTTTGAACCCGTTGAATTTGTTTCTTCATCTAAATTTCACGTTCCTGCCCTTTATCTTATCAACTAGATTAATTTATAGGCTAATAGCATCTTTAAGGGGTTTGGGGATGATGGATATGGAGGAAAAAACCAAATCAACCAACCTAGGAGAATGAACAGGCCTAGAGAGCAATGATATGGAGTACAGATAGGGATAATCTTGGGTAATTTTGCATCTGAAGTTGCAGCTTTCTTAAAAGTACAATAAAAGTACACTTTAAAATTTTTATGAGTACATGTTTGTAGTACATAATGATTATATTCATTATGGGAAAAAAGTACACTTCTGAAATTATGATTTTCCTTGTTTCTCCCTTCCTCCCTATATCCTTCCTTCCTTTTTCGCAGCATTGGGGATTGAACCATTGTAGCTACATTCTTTGCATTTCTTATTTATTATTTTGAGACAGGGTCTTGCTAAACCATTAAGTTGCCCAGGCTGGGCTACAACTTGAGATTTTCCTGCCTCAGCCTCCTAGAGTGCTGGGATTACTGGTGTACACCACCATGCCTGGCTTTCTTGTCTCCTTTCTGCCTATCTCTATTTATTCTATCCTACTGTTACCAGATGGTGGTCCCAGGCGAATTCTTTCCAGGTTCTTGGTGTCCTGAACAAAAATTGGACAAAACATACAGAAAAGGCAGTGGAGATGTGTATTTATCAAATGTGGAAGAGAAGTAAGTACACTGCAGAATGACAGTGGGGTTGTGAACAGATTGACAATGGCAGAGGCAAAGGGAAAGGGGTCTTTTGTGTCTAGAATTCCTGGGTTGGCTTTTCCCTCATGCAAATAAGGCACTGGGGCCATTGTCCTATCAAAATCTCACTTGGCCTGATGTAAGATTTAAACTGTCCTATCAGGGACTAGCTTGGCTTCACACCAGGTGTAAATGAAGAATTGAAAATAGCACATCTCCAACTGGTTCTGTGCACAGTGCTCAGGAGCTGCAGAGTCCTCCTGGGTCCTGTGTTCTGTGCATGTGCCCTGGGTCTCATTGCTTTGACAGATCCCACCCAGTTGTTTTGAAGGTTTTGCCCCAGCCCTCATCTCCTACCTCACTATCCTAGTCAAGGTCAGTGCTGCTACGCAAGCCCTGAACTCAGGATTCCTCCTCCCCAGTGGGGTTTAATGCTCTGTGGTTGCTGCTCTGAAATTCTTAATAATTTTATCTTTGACCTTGTGTTTTCTGGTGAAATCCATGTGATTTCCCAATGGGACCTATGCTGGGGTCTTAAAGCCACAGCTCCTGTGTGCTTCCTTCCACCTTTCCCTGCTTGCCTGGCACAGGTTTTCAGCCACCTAGTCCCCTGTTCAGGCCATGTGTCCACCTGGCCCTCCCCTGTCCTCCATCCATGGATCACTGCAGCTCTCCACTTCTGCAGGGCCCAGGGAAGGCTGGGTACTTACACCTTGTAGTGGGGGGACATGGCACAGTAGTGACCTCACCTGAGGCTGACATCACCATGTGTCTGAGCCTTTGTGCTGGTTGGCACTGTGGGCCATGGACAGGGGAGACATTAGGCTTGACTTCCTTAACTTCACCCCCAGGTGAGGCAGGTGGCTGGACTGCTGGCTGGTGGGAGGGCACCTGTGGCTTTAGGTGCACTGTCACAGGGTGGGGCTGGATGTGCTCCTCTGTGCTGAGGGAATCATCTCTTCCTCCTTTTGTACTCCCTGACTCTGGCTTGTACAGTCTTTGCCTTTCCTGGCCAGCTCAGAGCAACCCCTTGCAATAAGCCATGAAATAATTTTGGCGATTCTACAACGCAAGCTGAATGCTCTGGTATTTGCACTTAAAACTGCCACTGTACAATATAAAGGTGAAAAGTAAAATTTGTACAGATAATTAAAATTTTTCCTCTTTTTTTTCACTTGGAACACTGTTAGATATCAAATAAAAAACATGACACTTGTGAAAAGAGACCATGGAAAAAAGGAAAAAAAGCTTTCTAGGCACCTGTTGTGACATTTTTCCACATCAGTGCCAAAGGGTCCCTCAAATTATGTAGGTGATCCTGCTCGTGGCTGATGTGCTGATGGGGGAGAAGGATTCCAGGGCAGGCCTGATGCCTTGTGTGGTCCTCAAGCCTCCAGGGCTCAGCAGGAGAGGCTGTCAGAGGTGGACAGCCAGGGCACGATGTGCTGCCGGGAGCTTGGCAGGGCTGGGGTGCTGAGGAGTGGCAGGGTGGCTGCCCGCTGCTTCTGGAACATAAATACTGGAGAAAGAATCAGAGAGAGAAAGTCGAGGGTGGTTGGAGCCCACGCAGAGTCACTGGGGAGTGTAACAAAGGACAGATGCCTGTGCTTCCCTCCAGAACTCTTGAAAGATCTCCTGGGGTGGGTGCTGCTCTCTGCCATTGGGAGGGGAAAATAGGGACTAAGGAAAGGAAAAAGCTCTGGGTTATGCAGAAGGTGGTTGGGACTCAGAAACACCCAGCGGCAGCTGCTGCTGTTCAGAGGTGCAACTGGATCCCGGCACAGCCTGCTCCTTGGTGTGTGACGCTCACTCCTCATGCTTCCTTTTTTCAAACTCAGTCTTGCCCCACTGAACAGAGCACCTCAGGCTGGATGTCCAGAAGCGCTCTGTGCTGACTCTTGGTGGGAATGGGGGTCTCTCTCTCCTCATGCTGCAGGCGCCCCCACTCCCTGTTGCCCTGGGAGGCTGTGGCCCAGCTGAGGCCCGGAAGAGCAGACACCTCACCACAGGAGCTGATGTTTCATGGGCCAGTCCCACATTCTGGAGAGTCACATGCCAGAGGCAGTGGGGCGGAGGGACCAAGAGTGCCACTTGTATGTTGACCCTCCCTGTGTTTGAGTCCTGACTACCACTTACAGGCTCCCAGACTTTGGGTACATTATTTAGCCTCTCTGAGCTTTACTTTTCATCTGGAAGATGGAGTTGATAGCAATACCTCCCACATCAGGATGGATAGAGGTGAAATTAGGTAATATATGCAAAATAACTCATAGAGGGGCTGGGGACTCAAGTGTTGCCATTTGGCTGAAACTTGCTGATTGGCCAGTGGTTCAGCTTTCACACAGGATGATCTATGGGTGCTGAGGCTGTGGGGTGTGGCAATGGGGTGCAGCTATATGGGCTGCTACTGTACCATGCAAGGCAGTTCCCAGGGCATTGCTGGGGCTAAACTCCCTGCCACTCCAGCAGGCAGTACCCAGGCCTTTCCTCTCTTCTTAACCTGCTTTGAGGCTTGGGCTACTGAACTAAGACAGGCTGGGTAGATAATGCAGGTGTAGGCAAGAACAGGAGGTGATGAGTAGCATCTCTGAGCCCCAAGCCTTCTCAGAGATACCTATATTATCTCATTTAACCTCTACCCATCCATAGCTCAGCAAAAGTAACTTGGCATTTAAGTGGTAGTCAGGACTCAAACACAGGAATGTGAGTTCACAACCCTGCTGGGTGGGGGGGGGTGTGTTGACCTGTGTGATACCATCAGTTGGTTTTGAGATTTATAGGAAGGTCCTGAGTGCCCCCTCAGGTTTGTTGCTGTGTGAGGGCTTGCGTGGAGAGGCCGTGACACTGTGGCTTTCAGGATATTGAGCCAATCTGTCCCACAGCAGCTGTCATGGTGAGTCAGGACAGATCCGGGAAGGTGGGATTTCTGCCAAAGCTGCTTGTGAACAATTTCTTCCCATTGTGGAGGAAAAATATCATCACTTTGGAAATGAGTTTGTCCACTGTGCTGGAAGACCCTGATGGCTTGGGACTGGGCCATACATCTCGCTTGTCTAGATCAGCCATGTCCGAGAGAGACTGAGAGGCATCTGACCATCCTCTCTGTGATGTCCTCCCAACCCAGAGGAATGCTAACCCCCCCCCCCTTTGTACTATGAGTGAAGAGTAAACCTACAGTGTAAGGTGATGAAAGTACTGAATTATGGAACAGTAACAGAAGTTGAATTATAAGTTGGATACCTGAGTTACATTGCTTGAAAAATACATTATAGATATATGTTTACATATATTGCCACTGTCTTGCTACTTCAAATATGGTAGCAATGAGGACACATATGCCCCATTCCTGAGTCCGAGGGCAGGGATGCTGGAAAGCTGGGTCCTAACACCCCTGACTCCATGTCCTCTTCTCCATGACCTGGGTTTATCCTGAGTTGGACCGGAGTTAACTTCATTTCCCCTTCGGTTTCTCCTTCTTTTTGCCAGATTAGGGTATTTAAGCATGATGTGCCGGTTCGTCTATCCCCAAAGAGCTGGCGAAGACTAGAATTTGTTTTCCCCTACGTCCTGCTTTGAGATATTTTTAAACACTTGGATCCGGACTAGCTTCCCGGGGAGAGCGAGAGCCGCTGTCATTTCCAGATCCGCCACTAGGCGTCAGTGGCGCTCTTGGTTGGGGCGAGCTCGCGGATGTAGCTGATTAGGTTTGGTACCGGAGGAGCTTTTGCGCCCTCAAAATAACAAATGTCAGTCTTGCAGGGCACTTTTTTTCAAGAAGTGCCCCAGGGAGCTCGGAAGTTTGCATAGGAAGCCGAGGGAGCTCGGGGCTTCTGATAATGATATTCAGCGTGGAGTGGAGTGGCTCACAGGCAAGGCCCGGGTCTTTCCAGCTTTGATATATGAGATTATTATGGAGAGAAGCGCGGGCCAAGCACGGGACTCGCGCTCTGCAGGCCGTGGGTGAGAGCTCGCCTCAGCGAGACGTCGCCACCTGCACGGAGGAGGGGCGGGGAGAGGAACGGGCTGGGTGTGGTGAGCAAAGGAGTTAAAATGCTCAGCGCCTAAATTTTGACAATACATTTCTGCCCAGCACATGCTGGACAGTCATAAAGCACTGCACTAATGAGGACTAAAAAGATAAAAGTAACACACAAACCCTTTTCCCTCCCTGAGCTAATATTCTATCTTTCCCTAAAAAGGTTAAAACATTTAGATGTCTTCTAAACCTGAGGGCTTGACAGTTTGCAAATTTGACATACAACCTTAAATTCAATACAGATGTTCCTAAAAAAGGAACAAAACCTAGGAAAATGCATTTCTAAGATACCGACATTTGCCACCTCAGACCCTTCCCCACGTCTTCATTTCCTTGTAAAAACCTCAGTCCTCACCCTGACTGAGATTTCTATCTTGGATCCTTGCCCGCTGTCCCAGGGTAACCAGTGATCTAAATAAACTCCTGCCTTTCCTATATTCCTGTCTACTAGTAAATTCTTTTTACCACCCTTGTCACCGGCCCTCTATATGCCATCTGGCAAGGCGGTGGGGACCGCCACGGGGGGGCCCTACCAGTCCTCAGTTCGTCCCCAGCAGCCACAGATCAGGCCTCTTCCTGACCGAGCAAGGCAGCCAGGGTGGAGGGCCTTGGAGGGGTGGTAGCAGCTGTTGCTCAAGCTCCAGAGCCTTCACGAGTCAGGGTCAGCTCTGAGAGGAGCTCCTCAAGCCAGCGCTTCAGGAACATGGCCACATAGGAGGTGGCTGTAGGGGAGGCACTCAGAAATGAGGTATCCCTAGAGACTCTTGCACACTTGGCCTCTCAGTATGGGAGGGGCCCGCCACTGGAAGGAGGTTCCCTAGGAGCTGTAGACTCCCAGGCAGGGCTGCCAACAAAATAACCCTGCCTCTCTTCCAGGTTCTGCCAAACCTCCCTCACTGCCTGCTTCTCTTAGACTGTAATGTTTTGTTTTAAGACTCTTACTATGTTTGAACTGCAGCACCTGCTGGGATAAAAATTCCATCTTTTGGGGCTGGGGATTTAGCTCAGTGGTTCTGCCGCCAGCCTCACAAGCTCAAGGTCCTGAGTTTGATCCCCGGTACCAAAAAAAAAAATTCTGTCTTTTGGAACGTCAATTTACCTGCGTGGGTGGTACTGCCACACTTTTCTGAAGCCATGGATGGCTCTCTTCTGACCACCAACTATGGTCACTGCCACACGTCTGGTCCTGGCTCCTGCCAAAGTCTGGTTCTAGATGGATGAACAATTGTCCCCTTCAGTGTGAATTCTCACCTTGGCATCAGAATTATTTACTCAGTTTATTCTCATCTGTTCAGCTGTCACTCTCAGAGCTAAACCCCTGTCCCAGCCAACTACCCTGCTAGGTCTGGTTCTGCCCTTACAAACCCTCAGACCCAAGATCTTTGGTTAAAGCCTAGGTCCTCACCCAGTTTAAGCTTCTCTGGCCCCTAGCCTGATCACTCTGTCAATTTTCTTAGCCTCAGGTCTGGACCTTAAACTCTTTACAAGGCTCAGGTTCCTACTGTCTTCCTCTCTTCTGAGCTCTGATGATCCAGAGTTCTTAGACAAGGACACACTTTCAGAGTGTCACAGACTCGAATCACACTTCTCTAGGGCACCAGTGTCAGTGAAGCATTGCACTTTTAGCCCCAAGGGGCCTGTGGATTCTATGCTGAGACTGATTTACCTATTGATCCATCCTTAATTTGCATAACTAATAAGGATCCCCCCCCAAGGGCCCCAAGGTAACTTTCTAATCTTACCCAATTGACTAAGAGGCAGCCAATGTCATTTGTTTGAATGTGAACTCACTTTTTAAAAATTGCATGATTCTTTTTCACTTTGGACCTAGTTACAATATCTGCAGATGCTCAAAGCAAAATGTTTAAATATTGACTTTTACTCATGGATTTTTGTGGACAGGCACATAGTAGGCAATTGGTGTCTGTTTTGAATGAAGAAATGCAGTTAGCTTGTGTTAGTGCTTTGTAGAGTGACTGGTAGCTTGCTGGGATGGGTGAGTGGACTGCTGGTGGGTTGGCTTACTCTCCTCTCTCTTACTTGCTCTCTGTCTTGGTTACTTTCTTGTTGCTGAGGCACAATACCTGACACCCACAAGAGAAAAGAGGAAAGGTTTATTTTGGCTCACAGTTTGTAGAGGTTTCAGTCTATAGTTGGCTGGCTCCAAGGCAGAGTGGCACATTGCAAGGAGAAACAGTTCATGGCAATGCAGGCAAGTAAGCAGTGAACAAGCCTTCCTTCTGCTTTTCCTTTTTATTTTTTTTAATTTTTTTATTTATTTAATTTTTTTTTTTTGGTACCAGGGATCGAACTCAGGTCCTTGTGCTTGCAACTGCTTTTTCTTTTTATCCCATCTAGGCTACAAACCTATTGATTGGTGCTACTCACATCCAAGGTGGCCTTTCCCATCATTCACACCCAGAACTATGCTAAACCAATCAGTGGACTTATTTAGTTATCACAACCCTTAATCTGTACGCACACACCCTAGATTCAGCCCCCTCCAAAAAGCCCAGCTATGAGCATGAGAAACTTTGGATACAAGCCTTAACCCTCTCATTTTCTGGCTTATTTCTGTAGTTTTGATGTTGGGTACCTTGACCTGCTTGTTCAGCTTTTTTTTTTTCCTGCTATAATCTATAATGAGAGGGGCATTTAAAACTATATTGAATCTGGGGATTTAGCTCAGTGGTTCCACTGCCTGCCTCAAAAGCACAAGATCCCAAGTTTGATCCTGGTACCAAAAAAAAAAAAAAAAGGTGTACTAATAAAATTAATTAAAAAAAAAACTATGTTGAGTAGAGGAATCTTCCTGTTGGGTTGGGGGCAAAACACAATGACCATGGCATTGTCTGTGTGACATCAATTACTACGCCTCCAAACAAGAGCTGGTAACCCCAGAATTCTGGGAAGCTGGGGGAAGAGGACCTAAAGTTCAACTGCAGCCTGGGTAATTTAGCAAGTCCTTTTCTCAAAATGAAATATAAAAAAGGGTGGGAATGTAGCTCAGTGCAAAGTCCTTGGGTTCAATCTGCAGTAACACACACACACACACACACACACACACACACACACACGGACCCCAGCCAAGATAAGGAAGGGGTTTGGAGTGTGTGAGGAGGAAGGGGGGTGAGGGGCTCCTGATTAAAGCAGCTTATGCTCAATGCCATGTAGAGAAACATAAGGCAACATAAATATGGTTCACCAATTGGGGTAAGACAGTAGGAGAAGGGATCAGCAGAAGTGACCAAGATTAGGGGGAGCTCTGGGAATACATGAGTTGTAGGCTTGAGAGAATCCTAGAGATTTGGATTGCACTCTGAAAAGTGACTAAGACTATTTCCTAGTGTTTAGTTCCCTGTAGGTTTGGTAAACTGAGCTCTGTCTGTAGGACTTAAAGCCCAGAAGTGGAGCACACACTGGCCTTTAGGGCAAAGCCTAGTGAAGCCAGCAGAGGGGCCACAGAAATGGTGAGAGAGCCGAGTGGATGTGGGTGGGGTGCTGAGAGTGCATCCTTGCTAATCATCTCTCAGCCCTTGCACATGCTGTGTGAAGCTGGAGCTGTTGGTGTTCACCCTCTCACACAGCAGGTGTGGCTGAAGCTGCCTGGAGGCCGCCTCTCCACTCTCCATTTGTCTGCCCAGGCATCCTGACACCACTTTGCCCCTTCTACTCAGTAGCAGCCCTGGTTAGGCATCTGGGCTCTTCTCAGAAATGGGGCTCAGCCAGAGCTTGAGTGTGGACTCCTGCCAGTGCCTCAGAGCCTCCCTCCCAGTCCCGGAGACAGGAGCTCTGAAATGTGCTGAAAGGACAGGCCAGAGTGGTCATGAAACCTGTCCATGAGGGTTGTCTCTGATCAGTCAGTCCGCCCCACCTTCAGAGGTGGGAACATGGAGGCGCAGAGAGACAGCTGCTGTCAACTCACCTCAGCATCTGTAGTCCTTTGAGCTTCTGGGCTTGGCCCCGGCTGCCCTGGGTGATTTCAACACTGTTTATCATCATTTAAGTTTCTGCTTTCCTGGGTCCAGTAAAATGGGGAACACTCTTGTCCCACCACTGCCTGAACACCTCCAAAGCAGTTTACTGTGACTCTGTGCCCTATCCAGTGAGATGGGGATCTTCAAAAGTGGGACAGAACTATTTCCTCAACAATGTAGTCAGAGCTCACTTGCTGCACAGGAAGCTTTTACTGGAACTAATACCAAATTGAATTGGCTCTGTTTCCTACACTGAATATTAAAGAAGAAATAGCCCAGAGAAGATGTGAATGTCTGGCCCCACTTCTTAGCTAAAGGAGTTTATAATCAACTCCTCCTCTTCCTTCCTTCCTTCCTTCCTTCCTTCCTTCCTTCCTTCCTTCCTTCCTTTCTTTCTTTCTTTCTCTTTCCTTCCTTCCTTCCTTCCTTCCTTCCTTCCTTCCTTCCTTTCTTTCTTTCTTTCTTTCTTTCTCTTTCTTTCTTTCCTTCCTTCCTTCCTTCTTTCCTTCCTTTCTCTTTCTTTCCTTTCTTTCTTGCTTTCTTTCTTTCTTTCTTTCTTTCTTTCTTTCTTTCTTTCTTTCTTTCTTTCTTTCTTCTTTCTTTCCTCCCTTTGAACACCTCCACATATTTTAGAACAGTCACGATAGGTGGAATCATAGCAGACAGTATTTAGCTAGCCTGTTCAGGTCAGGTATGGTACCCTGAAAGTACTACCGAATCACACTAAACTATGGAGAATTCTATTATGAAACTCCCACAAATTTGACTAATGCATATTTGATGTTCCAGATTTATACATTATGGATAATATGTAGTATAGGTTGAATCTGTGGGAAATTTTTTTTGTAAAAAAAAAATAACAAGTGACATCTTGTGGTATCTTTTCCTTTTTAAATTTTTTTAACCACAAGTACAATGCACACCAATAAAAAAGATGTACGTGGCATGTATCCATGATAATAGCCATGGCAAAGGCAGTCTGAGGCATATTAACAACAGACTTATCTCTGGAGCAGCACCTTATGTAAGATGCATTTTCCTCTAGAGCCAAGTAGCAGAGAATTCACCTACACCGGTAGATAAGTGGCCTCTGGGCCCACTCACAGTCCAGCACCAGGCCCTGTGGCAGGCGGATTGCTCACCTACATAATTGATGCAACAAGGGTAGAATTTCCATTTAGTACAACAGAAGCTAACATGTAAATTGGCACCAGACACTCCGAGGTCTGGCTGTACTAATGTCATCTATGGAACCCAAGATAATTTCAGTGACATCTTTCTTTTCTCTGGGGGAGAAGTGTGGTTTTTGACCAGGCTGGGTGAATATTTGCGTGGCAAGTGGAGACATGTATTTAGGGTTGTGTGAATTTAGTCATTCAAGATATCTTTTATCAAACCATCCCTTTCTCCTCTCTCCTCCAAACCTATGGGGTTGATGTAAAACTAGGTGGAAGCAGATGATGTGGCCTTGACTCCATTCTTTCCTGGTGCCCAGGAGCTCACCAGGCTATGGTAAGCAAACACAACATCTAAGAAAGTCTGTAATATTCATCTGTGTAACTCTGTGTGCCACCGGGGCATGGCATGGTTGGTAATGTGGCACCATTCATCTCTGTCCCCGCCCCTCCCGTCTGATCACAACTTCCTCTTCTGTATTCCTGGACCGTTCTCCCATACCCTGAGGACCAGCAGCACTGTGGATGTAGATTGGCTATTGATTGTCCCTTGCATGCAATCGTTCAACAGATGTTGATGGAGCCTG